TCAAAGTTATAGTTTGTTTGTGAAAACTTTGGTTTCAACTTGGTGAAAATATTTACAATGAAAAACCACATTTCGACCTTTGTCATGTTATGAACCATAAATTGAAGTTAAAATCCTTCTAAGAGATAATAAAGCGTTAATAATTGTGGGAAATGAAAGAAGCGTTGCATTTGCCAATGAAAAATAGACAAAGAAAACATGCCAGTAAGTGCAAGAGACTGATATGTAGTAAATACACTATTAGAATGTGTACAAATTGTGCACTATATCCATCATTGTGAATAACAAAAATATATTAACCTTTCTTTCGTCATGTTATAGACAACAACTTAAACCTGAAGCCGTGAGTCCGAATAGGGATTGGAAAATTACCAATCCGAAGTGCATTGTTAAATAGGCGAAATAAAAAGAACTGTTTTAACTTCGGTCTCTGTTAAATATGTATAATTAAGAAAGACATGATAGATATTACTAGACTCAGTGTTGGAAGAAGAAACCTTCACTTTTAACTTTTTATATTTTTAATTATTATCGAATGGCGAAAAGCTTAATTTTGAGGATAGCATTAAGTTTTGTAAAAAACAAAAATTGTAAATGTTAATAACGAATAGCATGCGAAATGTGGTTATATAGAAGAATTTTAAAAATATCTTGGACAGATAGAATAACAAATGATGAAGTTTTGGAAAGAATGGGGAAAGAAAAAGAGGTTTTAAATACAGTTAAAAGAAAAAAGACGGGGTATTTTGGCCACATCATCCGAGGAAGTAAATATGAAATTTTGAGAAATATTTTAGAGGGAAAAATCTGTGGAAAGAAAAGCCCAGGAAGGAGAAGGAAAAGCTGGTTAGGTAATATATGTGAATGGAATAATAAGAAAGCAGAAGAACTCACACGTGAAGCACAATTGAGATTGTTATAATACTAGTCCTACATTCAGAAATGAATATGGAACCAGAAGAAGAATAACGAATAGCATTTTCATTACGTTTTACCTCTCTGGAGATACGACAGATGACACATTTCATCTCCTCACATTTTTAACTACCAAAATTTAATGGCATCAATGTTCTTATACAAACTATCATGTCAAATTTCGTTTCTCATTGGCACCAGCGCACACACAATTTTGTTTTTGTTTTTGACATTTTTGGATTCAGGAGGTTTCAAAAGGTGGCTATATGTAAAAAACTCTGATGGTGAAATTTGACACGATTCCAATGCTTTCCCTTATTATGTACTGTACAGTACAGTACAGTACATAACAGCCGAGAAAGTAAAATTAAAAATGTTTAGAAATGCATTTAACTTATGCAAAATATTTTGTCTTGTTTAGAAACGTTTAAATAATGGTTAAAGAAAGAAAGTCTTAGTTTCTTTTTAATTTTGAAAGTAAATACTGTAACAAGTAACGTCATTTTGATTCGCACCATCTCAGTTATTAAGGGTTTTTTTTTAAATTAATACTCTTTCCGCCCTGTGGGCACTAGAGGGCCTCTTATAGTAGGTCCATCATGGGTTCGGCCAGACCCACAATGGGGCGACCGGGTGGTGAGGGACGGAGTCTGACATATCCGAACGGACCACACCCGAAAAATTCCTGGGGATTCCTTGAGGGTTAATTCTAAATTATGCCGCTGCGGCAAACAGTGCCAATAGCCAGAAGCTCGATTTGTGAGATTTTATGGTCATTATTACAAATTATGAATGCTTTATTTGTAATTACTATTAGTTAAAAATGAAAATAAGTTAAATTTTTAGACACACCTTACTTATAAATGAATTATTTTTCCATAAAAGAATTAATATTAATGTTTAGAACAGAATGCTCCAACTTGTAAGATTAGAGCAGAATGCTCCAACTCGTAAGATTATAAGGTGGAATTATAAATAAAATAAAATATAAGGCGATTTAATAGTTGATGTTTTCTCATTTTGAAAAGTGCTTCTGGAAATCTTTTCTGGCTACGAACTCCTACAATTTCAAGTTATGTCAGAACTGCAAACAAGAAATCATAATGCAGTGAAATCTCCATTAAATTAATTAACGGACAGTTCCAAATAGCGGACACTTCTGCTTAATTAACGAGCATTTTTACAATCCCCAGATTATTAAAATAGAACAACTATTAACCTATTTTTACCTGTAAATAATGTCCATAACGAACCTTACAAAAATGTAAAGTCCCGCCTTCAATAATCTGAAAGGATTAATTACGTACGAAATATTTTAAAACTAAAACAAAGAAATCGGTTCGAATACTCTCACAGGACGAATAAAGACAAAAATAGGATGGGGAAGGAGAGCAGGATATAAAAAGCTGAACAATATCTGTTAATATTGATGTTCCCAATATCGGTATAAATTATTCTATCAGAAACAGTATACATTGCGTATATAATTAAAATACGGGATATATATACCGTATTATCTTTTCGTCTGTAAAAATTTCATTTTACTGTAATTGAATTCTAAATAGCAAACAGATTGGATTTGACACTTTAATTGGAACATTGTATTGGAACTTTAATTGGGCAGAAGTAACGAAAAATAATGAAACAGTTGTGAACGGAAGCGTGGACGAAGGTCGGTTTAGGTTGGTTGGTTGGAGGTTTTTGGCGCAAGGGCCATACAGGCCAAGCTGCGCCAAGGACAGTTTAGACAACGAAAGTTCGAATGGCGAGTTACGAAGGCGATTTTGCTAGCCATTTCAAAGGGTGGAAATGTATTCCATATTTTTGCATTTATAATTTCACTTATGACCTAAGCTACTAATAAAAATTGATATAGTGATTTGTCTGCATAGTATTTATCAAATAGATTAATTTTTCGAACAATTTTGCTTTTTTTAATAAATGATTTACATAAAACTACACTTAAGCCATCACAAAGCTGTTAAGATTATAAATGTGAGAATACCGAATATCTTCCTACACTTTCAAGTGGCCGGCAAATCGCCTTCGTAACGCAACCTTTGAACTTTCACCACAAGCGCTGTTGTCATATCCGTTTTATGTTTCTTTTTCGTTACTACTGTCAGTGCCGTAACTAGGCAGGTGCAACAGGTGTACCTGCACAGAGCCCACTTGAAAGGGGAGCCCAAAATGCATGTATTTGTTTTATTATTTTCCCAAATCTAATTAATCAAGAGGCCTAATTGCAAATTCTTGCACAGGGCACAATAATAGCTAGTTACGGCACTGACTACTATACTACGGTTCTTATTAAATGAATGAATAACTTGGGAAAAGTTTATGATATCTCGGTACCATAAACTCAATTCTAACAGTTAGACAGAAGTTTAATAACATTAATATGAATGACGATAAGTGACGATTGACAACTTTACCAGATTAGTGTTCTCTAAAACAAACTCTTCTTTTTTTGATACGTAGGTAAACACAACCTGCACTTAGATACAGTACTTTAATATTTTTGTCACTACTGTTGTCCTTTACGCGCTTGCTTGTCTTAATATGCCTGTTTAAACTTCATCTGGGACTATATTTTAAATTACACTCGCTATATTGTATTTTATTTAATGTATAACGAGTTCCTCGACGTTGACAGAGATAAACGCGCTAGTTCTCTATCTACTTATCCAGTGGTGATATTCAGCGGGTTCGCACAGGTTCGGCCGAACCCGTTGTTAACATTTTCAAAGTTTTCCGAACCCGTTGTTAAACACACGTAACATTTCTCAGTGATTTTGTTTCGTTTAAAAAATATATTAAAATATACTTATTATACTCTGTAACACTACTAAACTAGAGCCTTATACTCTGTTCGCCTAGTGAGACCTCCATCGACCGTTCCAATCTCGACTAAAACGAGGTTCAATCGCGATCGACTCGAGAGAGTTCTCGAAACTAGGTCCAGTCATAAGAGAGATCCCACAATCCTACGTGCGCGAGAAAATACAAGATGGTTGCGGAGCACGTTTCGGGCTATCAACAGCGAAGTAAAAAATATATTGTATTTAGAGAGACGATGACATCTGTCTATTTTTATAATAATACCTAACGATAAAATAAATGATTTAGAAAAGTTTTTCTTGTTTAACTGCTTTCCCTATGACTTTTTCTGATTAAAAAAAGCCAATTTTTATGTTTATAAAATATTTTGAATGAAAAATATTAAAATATGTACAAAATAAACAATTTTGAACACTCTTTTTTATTATTTATAAAAAAAATATAGTTCTGGCATAAACAATGTTAAATTTTAACTGAGTTAATTTTGCGAACGCATCTTTTTTATTTATATGAATATTTTAAGGTGAGTTTTTGCGCTAATGTTGCTAATGCACCATTTGAGCGAAAAAAAAAAAAAATTGCAAAGGAAAAATTTTCTGTTAGCGAACCCTTTGTTAAATATTTCGAATATCACCACTGCTTATCTATATCGTATCGGGGTTAATATGGAGGTTATTGCATGGTCACTTATCCTCTGAAGAGCCGGCCGAAGCATTTTTGCTTGACCATACGAAATTACTCGCGAAGATCCGCGGGAAATGCCTTCTGGGAGATCTTTTAAGATACCTGGCCAGTATTTAGGCGTTACAGACGTGGAGAAAACCCGAAAAATTCCATGTAGCCAGCCCGCGCGAACCCACGACTGAACTCCCACAGTGTTCAGGGACGAAGACCGCTTTGTTTCTCTCTTCTTTCTTTGTACGAAGACCGCTTGGGCACTGGCGGGCCTTTGGGCCTTTTAAACTTCGGATCGCGCAAAAAGCGTGACATTGCATATGCACCACGGTGCGGAAGAAATTGACATTAATGTGCTGTATATATTTTTACAACTAAATGTCATATTTCAAAATTGGTAGAAATAATAATTTCAACAAAACAAATATTTTTTTCTTTTTATAAACAGATAAAAATAAAACGCTTTAAAAATGTATTACTTAACATCAATAGTAGTAGAGAAAGCGAACAGCGTACGTGACTAACCAAGCTATTAAGATGGCCGTCATTACCGATGTAATTCGTGTTACAAAATAAGGTACGAAGTGTGTGACAACAGTAAAAACATCGCATTTAACGTATTATTATAAGCAAATGAACGTAATAAACATCTTTATGTCAGTTTCTGAACGGATTTTAGAAGTAATTGATGCATGTTTATTTCAATTTTTGCAGCCATATTGAAAAAATTAAATATTTGATACGAGAAAAATTATATATACCGATGATTCTTTTTGATTAAACTCTTCTAATATAAAATAATTAGTAGATTAATATTCTTAATACACATATTTATTTATTCAAAACATAGTTAAGTTTGATTATTACGTAATTAATCCTTGTTGAATTGTACAGTACATGCTGTACAATACGTGTTTAAAGTCGTATTTAAATGTAAGGAAATATAAAGTAGGTTGCGTGTTTAATGATTTTAAGATGTAATTATTATATAATTTCTTCCATTATTTACTCGTTAGACAAAAAGAAACAATAGAAGACAAAGAATTCTCTATCATGCTTTTTTTTTGTTTTTTTCTATCTTACATTTAAATTTGATGTTGTAATCATTGTTTTGTTGCTTCAGAACTTTATCATATTTGGCAATCTTAAATTAAGAGCTTTTTCTACCATTTTAAAGTGATGATTTCAATATCAATGCCATTATTTATTATTGTTATAAAATATTTACACACATTTTAAAATCAAATATTTTAGGGAGTGTAAAGATTCAGATTCAGTAGTTAAAATTTATGAATTGGATGAAGTAATTGACGAGGAGAAAAGTTGACTGCGTTAATAAATGGATAATCGAGTAATTTGTAAACAAATAACTAAGTCGGATTGAAGCAATTGAAAGATAATTAATTGTAAGTATTATTTCAATTTTAATTTACCATTACATTGCAGAAATATAAAATAACTTTCTTAACCTAAATAAGCATGAATGTATCAAAATATTTTAAGAAAATGTGTGTAAAAACTGAACGTTAAATAGTGTTATCATTAAAATGAAAACAATTTTAAAAAAGTTTACTGTAAAATTCTACAATCTTCCTATGTGGTAACTATTGACATAAAATATTTGTGAACATTTTAATATAATGATTAACTGGGTTTAAATTACCATATTTACTCGTGTATAAGACGATTTCGCATATAGGATGATGTGTGACTTTAAAGATTAAAAAATAAAGAAAATTAGATTTATTAATACAGTTCTAATTTCATTTTGTCTAATCACAAATAAAATGTCAAATGCACGTAAATTCACACGTTGTCCCACAAAAATTACTAGCATTTTAATCTTTAAGGAAAAATCTTGTAAAATCGACAACATAATTTGTTCATGTAATCAGGAACCTTTTTTGCCAATTCTTAACAGTCAAATCTATACTTCTGAGTTTCTCCAAATTCTGATTTCCGAATAATTATCTGTTTTCACGTGGGAATGGATTGAAACTTATATTGGGCTCCCGTGTGATTTTGCAATTTAAATTTGGAAATCAATTCAAAAGCTTTGCTTTTTTCTATTGCTATTCGTCTTTACTCCTGCAATAAACAAGAATAATTTAAACAACCCAGATAAAATACTTTTGTTTTTAAATACCAGAAGGTGAGCATTTGCTAGAAAATGTGAATACATTGTTCACAAAAGTTATTGCAAAAACCTAAAGAATCCTTCACTTGCACGTACAGGATGACCTAAGTTTTTGAAGCAGTGAAAAAATGAAGAAAAACCTCATCTTATATGTGAGTAAATATGATATATCTCAATCGCTATATATATGTATATCAGTGGTTCCCAACCTTTTCTAGGATGCGGAACACTTTTGTGAGCAATTTTCTTTAGCGGAACACTTACTTAAGTTAATATGAAATACATAAGCTTGTCATAAGTTATTTTATTAGAATTGAGCAGTTAAAATTCAAAATCTCTACTCATATTATTAACGCCAATTTTAGGACAGAAAAAAATATACCTAAATAACTTTAACGGGAAACTTGTGCCTGATGTTTCTTACATATTTCTTCTATGTTGGGATGTATATAAGACAATACCTCTAAATTTGTCAGTCTTTCCTTTTTTATTTTAGATTTTGTATTGGTTAATGTGGAAAACCCAAGTTCACATAAACATGAAGTTGAAAAAAATAGTAAAATTTTTATGGCTTTTTTTTATATCAGTGGATATTCTGGTTGGACTGATATCCAGAATTCATCAAGATTCGTTTCAGCGTGTTTGATTTTCAAGGAGCAGTCAGATGACAAGGATATAAGCTCCTCTTCCTCTGAGACATTACATTCAGAATTATTATATAATTCTTTTGAAATAAATGGATTCCTAATCCAGTAATATTTGTCCATGTCGAGAGAAGGAAAATATTTTCTTACGTTGTTTTCTAATATTGCTAAATGTTATGATATCAAGGAAACAATATCGGTATTATTAAGTATGAAAGGAAACATACTGAGATTATTTTCTTCTACTCTTTTTTTTCCAAAGAATGATCTTCTTGTGGAAAGCTGATAGTTTGTCCGTTGATGTTAAGATGTTTTCCGGTACACCTTGCATGGTACTATTCACAATGTTCAAATAATTAAATATGTTTGTTAAATATCCAAGTTTGGCACACCACATATCATTTTTAAGATTTTCTGAAAAGCATATATTTTCTTGTTCGAAGAAAACTATCAATTCTTTTTTCAGTTCCAGTACACGAAAAAACATTTTTTCCTTGAGAAAGCCACCTGATTTCTGTATGAAAAATTAACCCTTCATATTTTGCTTCCATCATTGCACACTATTGTTTAAAAATTCGGGATTTCAATGGTCTCGTCTTTACATAATTTGCCATATTAACAATGCTAGTAAGAACATCTTTTAATTCTGCAGGTAATGTTTTTGCAATAAGCAATTCCCTTTGCAAATGTCACAAATCCCTTGACTGATCCTGTCATTGATGGAGCTCCATCAGTGCAGATTTCCACGCATTGTTCCAAGTTCAAATTCAAACATTCAAAGTAAGAATTGATAGCATTATAAATGGCTTCTTCACTCATTCTTTCTAGTAACACACTGCAACACAAAAATTCATTGACTATTCTATTTTCTTTAACAAATCGAATGTATCCAAGTAAAATGGCTTTTCCACTAATATCTGTTGATTCATCAATTTGAAGAGCAAAAGATGTATTGTGAAGTTTACTTGCAAGTTGAATACGATTGCACACTTTCCGATTTCCTACTAAATGTGTGGAATACTTGAGAGATGCTTACGGAACACCGGTTGGGAACCACTGATGTATATTATTCAAAATTTGAATAATATACATATATATTATACATATATATTGTGGTTGATAATGCATTTATAATTTTAAATTATAAGTGCACTGTATTCTGTTTGTGTTGTTTATTTGAACATGCAAAATGCATTTGATTTTTTATATATAGCCATTTTTGTTCTGTGATCTATACCTGATGATGCCTATTTTAAATAGATGGAAATGTTAGTAAATAATTTCTTTATTTATTAATTACATAATTGCTGGTATTGGTTTGGTTCTGTGTGTTCAGTAACCCCACGTTTCTTTATGCAGCGCTCAAGAAGCACTTTACAGCGAACACACTGAAACTGATTTCTAATTGGCCAACACTGCTCGTGACGTCATTTCGCTACACTCTTGCTGCATAAAGAAATGTGGAGTAACTCTCCAAAACTGGGATCAGATGAGATCCCAGTTTCAGAGAGTTATCAAGTTGTTTGAGATTTTTTAGCATCAATTTTTTCAAAAACATTTAAGAAGAACACTTGCTTAATAAAGATTCTTTTTGCTTTTATATCAAGGTTTATCCACACAAACTATATTATTGAAACCCCTGGGAACCACATTGTAAAGTTTCCTTGTTAGTGTTTCTTAAACATAAGTGTTTTCACCAGGAAAGTTATGCAACTTGTTGGATTTTTTCCAATGGAATGATAATTTACCAACAATTACTATGATTATTGGAAAATTAATCATTTAACAATTGATTAGAAGAGGAGCCAATTACATTATGATTAATGATTAGCAAACAATTGATTAGTACATCTCTTATAAAATAGATTGCAGTATTATCTGTAAGTTCTCAAATCAAGCAAGTATTTATATTAGCATTTAATATAATCAAAACAAGTCATATCAACTCTGAGTAGATCTATATAAATTCATATAGACCTTATGATTAGTACATATTATGATTATGTACTAATCCAATATACCTACATTTTGATAGAGTAGAAAATTCTTTAAAAACTTGTCTTTATTTTTTTTACCAGATAATGAACTTGCTATTGATATGAAATTTTATGTTTGTTGGTTTATAATGTTTAAAGTTGCATACTGTAGATGCAGTGCATTTATCAAGAAGAAAAATTTAAAAACTTTTTAAGAATTAACATAAAATATATATGTTGTTGTTGTCGAAATACAAAAATAAAATATATATATTATAATATGCCAATTAATCAATACATCTATTAATATAATCTTGATGTACAGACCTAGTCTCTGAATATAGCCAAAAAATGTTATGTAAATAAATTAATATGATAATAAAAAAGCATTATCAGTTGTATTGAGTAATCAATTAGTTTTGCTATCACTACTAGTTATGCAATAATAGCTACTAATAATAGTTAAGCTATCTAACATAGACAATATATGTCTGATGGATTAATCATGAATCTCAATTATTACTTTATAAATTATATCTTTATAGCATATAACAGATTAACTGCATCTTTATCTATACAGGGTGTATCAGAATGATGTTTTAAAAATTTGGGGGATTGTAGAGGATGAAATTTTGAACGTTTTGATATCAGGAACCCATAGCCAGAAATATGATATAGTTTCTACAGCGGTAGGAAATGCTTGACTGCCCTTCACTTTGGTAGCTACCCTTCCGTCCATTGACGTCATGTTATTGTTCTTGACTTCTTCCTCTGGGGTTATGTAATGTCCCTTGCATACGCAACACCTGTAGGAACAGTTCATGAGCTTACAAAGCTCATCTTTACAGCATTTAATACCATCAGAGGGGAGCGTGGCATCTTACAGAGAGTCGGACAAAACATGGTTTGTTGTTGCACATTATGTAATGAACTTGGTGGTCATCACATTGAACATTTACTCTAAAGTAGTGCAGCTACTGATTCGATATACAATTTGATTGTACTCTACTGTTTTGTCAATAAAACTTGTCATAAATACTGTATTCTGTTGCTTAATTCAGCATACCGACTGCAAAGTGCAAAGTGCTGTAGAAATTTTATATCACATTTCCGGCTATAGGTTCCTTATATCAAAATGTTCAAAATTTCATTCTCTACAATCCCCAAATTTTTAAAATGTCATTCTGATACACCCTGTATAAATAAAAATGTAAATGTTTGTTCAAAATCTTAAATCTCTGAAAGTTCTTAACCAATTGCTTTGAAATTCCCTCCTGCTGGGAGAGAGACAAAATTAAGGCTTAGCATGAAGAACTGGTCTTCTATTATTCTATTTTAGATGCGTTTTTGATTGTGTTTTAATAGGGTATGTCAAGAGAATGTACACTAAGAAGGGATTTTTCGAAATTCCCTTCTGTGGGGAGGGTTATACATTTATAATAGATACATTTTGAGCCACAGCAATGCACACGTGGCCTGGTACAGCTAGTATTAAATAATAATTGATCATGTAATTATTATTTTCTGCATATATACAACTTGAACAATACAATACAACTTGAATGTCATGCCAAATACAGTAGAGTCCCACTAGTCCAAACTAATTGGGACAGAGCCCTATTCAGATTAGTAGATTTTTGGATTAGTCG